TGTGCAGTGTATGTGCATAAAAGTGTCAGTTTTCAACCAAGACACACTATTACCAAACTTTCGGTGACTAATGAATTTGAGTATTCAGCTGTGGAATGTAATTTTGAAAAATCTAAACTTGTAATCATATGTGTATATAGACCACCATCAGGTAAAATTAACGATTTCTTAAGCAGTTTAGAACATCTGTTGGAACTTGTGTGCATTGAACACAAAATAGTCCTGGTCGCAGGCGACTTTAACATAGATTTGTTGAAGGATAGTGCAGATAAACTTAATTTTCTATCAGTGATACAATCTTTTGGTTTAAAACAATCAATTTTTAAAAACACCAGAATCTCTCACAATTCAGCCTCATGTATAGACAATATCTTCATAAACATAGATTATGTAGAGACAAATGTTTTAAACACGTTTATCTCTGACCACACCGCACAAAAAATATCTATTAAACTAAAACTAGCCCAAAAAAATATTATACAACAAAGGAGGATTTTTTCAGATGAAAATAAATCATTATTTTTGGATTTAATGAAAGGGGAGGACTGGTTTGAAATATACAACATAAACAAAAAAGAGGTTAATAGTCAATGGAATACCTTTGTAAATATTTTTACTGCAAATTTTAATCATTGCTTTCCTACCAGGTCAATTACGCAAACCTCAAGAAAATATAAAAATATAGATAATCAACAAATTAAATTCTGCAAAAATAAATTAGATATTTTGCTAACACTTTCAAGAGTAGATAATAGGTATAAAGATCAATATAAAAATACAAAAAAAGAATATGACAATTTGTTAAGGGCGGTGAGGTCAAAAAACTATGAAAAACGTTTAACTTCATCCGACAATAAATCAAAGTGTATGTGGAGCATATGCCGAGAAATATCCGGAGAAACAAATAAAAATGCAGACATCGAGCTTGAAGGACATCCTGAAAAAATAGCAAACGACTTCAATGAGTATTTCTTATCTGTGGTTCCCAGTCTTTTGAAAGAGTTAAAGCATCCAACACCACCGACTATAAATATTGAACCAAATAACCAGTCAATGTTTTTAAGACCAGTGACTCCAACAGAAATAGGTAAACTTGCAAAATCTGTAAAAAATAAGCACAGTAGTGGAGTTGATGAACTACCAATAAGCATCATGAAAAAAACTATACCTGTAATCACAGAAATTCTTTGCTATATTATAAACAACTCTTTCAGACAGGGCATCTTCCCTAAACAATTAAAAACGTCTCTAGTAAAACCTCTTTTCAAAAAAGGTGACCACAATTCAATTGAAAATTACAGACCAATAAGTCTATTGCCAGCCTTTTCAAAAGTATTTGAATTAGCAATGTGTCATAGACTGATAGAACATATGAATAAATGTAATCTGTTTAACAAACATCAACATGGATATTTGCGTGGCAAATCAACTGACACTGCAATTTTTCAATTTATTAAAACACTCCTTAACAACATTGAAAAGGGAAACCTTGTTTTTGGCATGTGCTTGGATTTATCCAAAGCCTATGATTGCATTGACCACAGAATATTATTGAGAAAGCTGGAGCTATATGGTGTTAGAGGAAATGCCTTAAAGTTGTTCGAATCATATGTAACAGATAGAGATCAAAAGGTAAAAATATCAAAAGGAGGTCAAAACTGGTTTTCGGATCTTGCCAAATGTAATATGGGAATTGCTCAAGGAAGTATAGTGGGACCAATTTTGTTTGTTATTTTTCTAAATGACCTATGTTCAATCAGAGTTTCACCAATAGAAGGAATAATATGTTATGCCGACGACACAAACCTCACTACAAGTTGCAAGAATCTTGATAGCTTAATAGCAGCAGGGGATTCTCTCTTTAGTAGAGCTAGTAACTGGTTTATAGAAAACAAGCTAATCATAAATAAAAACAAAACAACTTCTTTAATCTTTAGAACAAAGTTAGCAAGAATTGAAAGACCAGACATAGTAAATCTTGATGAAACTGAAGTTGAAGTTGTAAATCACACTAAATTTCTTGGAGTTAGTATCGACGAATTTTTGGATTGGTCAAATCATATAATACAAACTGTGCAGAGGCTTAATTCAATATGTTATGGTATTAGAGTAATTTCCGAATACATGAATGAGACCAGTTTAAAGATTTTGTACCATGCAAATTTTGAATCAGTTTTTAAATATGGAATTATTTTCTGGGGAGGGAATAGCTTAATAGATAGAATATTTGTAACTCAAAAAAGAATACTGAGGATAATAAAAAACATGACATTTAAAGAAAGCTGTAGAGGTATATTCAAAACCTCAAACATTTTAACAGTTTATGCAGTGTACATATATGAATGTCTAATTTTCTTTTTTAAAAATAAAAATATGTTTGAATTACAAACTCACCATCAATACAATACCCGGACTAGAGATGTAAACTACCCAAATCATAGGCTAACCTTAACAGAAAAGAGCCCCTGTTATATGTGTCTCAAACTGTACAATAAGTTACCAAACGATATAAAAACTATTGTAAGTCTTAGGACATATAAATCCAAAATCAAAGAGATGTTAATAACTTTGGAACCATATTCTTTAAGAGAGTTTTTATTATAGAATTTTTGTTTTTATATAGGTATTCATATAATCTTATTATGACTCTATTTCGTTTCATGTTATTATTTTATACGCATGTATGAATGTAATTTTAATTTGATTGGAAATAAAGATTATTATTATTATTATTATTATTATTAAGTATGCCTTTATACGTAGTTTATGGTATATGGTATAAATGAACTTTCTATAGCAATTACTTTCTTAACATTCTAAGCATATGTTTAGAGTAGACTAATTTTTACCACTAAAACTTTGCACCTTCTAAGAACCTGCCTATATGCCAGTAAGAATATTCTTAGGATCATGCTATATTTCTTTAAAGCATGTTCTTTAGAAGAAATATACTGCCCTACTATGGAGAAAGGCAGTAACTGCAAAAAATGCAAAATGCGTTTTCTTGTGCTATGGTAAAGGTATGGACATTTTGTAACCGAATTCAACACAGAAATGCAGTCAAATATCTCATAAGTTAAAAAAATCAATTAATTACCTACTGCTTTTTCCAAAAATGTATTTTATGCTAATTTTCCACAAATTTCTTATTTAGCAGTTACTGCCTTTCTCCATAGTAGGGCTGTATAGCATGATCCTAAGAATATTCTCACTGGAAGGTTTAAAAAACATTCTTAGAATAAAGTATGCTATCAGGGTAATAACAAAAGAGTTATAGGATGTTTTTAATTAACGCGCATCTGTCAAAATTTAACAAAAAAATTAATAACTCGAAAACTATTCACTTTAGGTATAGGATATGGTATAGTAATTTTACTAAAAATTTGATGTAGAATTTAAAAATGTAGATATATATGGGGTGTTCTATTTGAAATAACAAAGTTTGCCACTTCCAGTTAAACCGGAAGTGGCATTTTGTTCAAAATATTTTAGAAAAAAAGACAAATGGCCTTTAAAATTTCATATCGATATCTTTTTCCGTTCCCCAGAAACTTCTAATGGACCACGAATGTGAAACACCCTATATATCATAACAAAATATTTTAACCCGTAACTGGTAAGGTGGGGTTTCTCAAGGATCTTTACCACGTATTAAATAATGGTGCAAGGCTCGCTACCCCCTGTGTAGCTTTCGGTTAGTTGTCTATCAGTACTTTAAGGGTTTCCAAAAAACGCGATATTTTAATGCGTAACCCCACCTTACCAGTTTTTTTTACTAGAGTTTAATAAAAATACGATTTTGTTAAAACTGTTCCTTTGTATGTTTTTTAAAGAATTTTAAAAACGTTTTTTACTATTTTGTATTTTTTTATTCTATATTTTCAGTTTAATAACTTACAGCAATTAAAAATAGGTTTTAAAGTGATTTTTGTGGAGTCCCACAGTAAAATTTAATTATTGCTAAAAATTTTAGTTTTTTTATTTTCGTTAAAAGTATGTACGCATTAATGGTTACCCAAAACTGAATAACATACGCGTTTTTTTATTTTGATTTCGCAAAATCGCCGTATTCATTTGGTAAACCCCACCTCACCAGTTATATAAGTGACCTCACTAGTTACAGCCCAGATAGCACAAAGGTATACTATGGACGTCCAATGGACGTATGCTCGTGGACGTCTGTATGTACATAGGATGTCCATTTTTTTTTTCTAGGGACGTCCCATGGACATCCGTTTAGAGTCCAGATGTCACAACTTTGGACATCCATAAGTCGTCCACCGATGGACGTCTATAAGGTGTTTGAACCATTCCTCCAGCACCCAGGACTTGCTTTTTTGCTTACTTTAACTGTTTTTTGCCACTGTTTTTTCATTGCGATATTGCAGAAAATTTTCTACAACATGACTGAAATGCCTTTTGTCTGGCTCAGTAACAATCCCACTAGGAATATAAATATTCTAAAAGTTGTTAAAAGTTACAACATTCAATGTTGAACATTGCAGGAAATCCTTGTATTCGACTCAGGAACATTACATTTGCAATACTACAAGTGTTTAACATTTCATTGATAGCTTAAGTCCTTTATAGCACGCGCTTGCTTGAATGTCAGTGAGATTGATCATAACTGTTGTTATGCAGCCAACAATACGTTTTAACTTGCATTTCGTTAATAATAATTATGGACGTCCATTAAAATCGTACAAAGGATGTAAATATTTGGACGTACATAGTACATCCATTTTTAGTCCGTGGACCAATGTACTTAAAATGGATCTTAAACGGACGTCCATTGGACGAATGGTGCTATCTGGGAGGTTAAATAAATTAAATTTTTACTTTTTATTGCGTTAATGCATGTTTATTAGTTTTTTTTTAATTTTAAAATTTACAAGTTTTTTAAAGAATCTGTATATTTATTGTTAACAAATTTGTTAATTGTTGAAAACCTCTCGGGGGAAGTGAGGATGGGAATAAATAAAATAAAACATGATTAGATATATTTATGTATTTTTTATTAGTATTCACATATTTTATAAAACAAAAAACCATTAAAAATGTGAAAAAATGTTTATAAATTATAATAGGTATTTTTTAAATTTACACTGATAGGACATGTGGGCAAAATCACAATATGATTGCAAAAAAGCATTGCACTTTGCCACTGATGCGCATCACAGATAACTCGTTTTATTTAACAACTACTAAAAATAATAAGCCATTTAAAGAAGAGCTCGCTTTTTATCAACAAGCACACATTTATTTTAGAATATTACATCTATTTTATAGAAAATTACGCAATCAGCCTTAAAAATACATACAGATGAAATATGTACATTTTTATAATTTATTGAGTACTCCTCGTGTGGAGTACGCATCCCTGAGCACTTTGATAAAACTTTTTTACATTTATTTTACTCAATTGAGTATATTATTAAAATAATCTATATTAAAATAAAATATAAAAGAAAAATAAACATTTTTACAATTTACGAAATTGCACAATTAGTATTTTCATTTTTAAAACTATTACGTAACTTATATTGAAATAAATTAATTTAAAAATATTAAACACAAAATATGTCTTGAAAGCACCATTTAAATGTCAAAATTGCAATACTTAAATAATAAAAGAAGACAATAAAAATAAATTATACAATATTAACAAACGAAACTAATTAATTGCATTACTCGGGTCACCTGGTTGTAATTATTACAGTGTCAACATTTAAAAGTTCTTTTACTTTTTCCGTATACTTAACTAAGGCAATTTTTGAAGCACGTGTATTAATTTTCTCGCCAGCGTTTAAGAATTGACAGCAATGAGCTTGCTCTAAAAAGTCCGTCATCTTTAGTTCTCTTAACACTGATTTTACATTAACTTGGCTGCTCGACGAGGAGGAGGGGTAAATTTGCTTTAGAAGCGCGTCCCTGGATTTGATTTTCAGCAGCGTCGATAAGTCTTGCAGCAAAATCCACCGGTCACCGGACGGTTCGCCTCTTAACGTGTACAAATTCGGGAGCAGGATTTCGGACATCTCAAATTCTATTTCGTCTTCTTCAGAAGGTGGGTCCGGGTCCGGTACGCCATCAAATATGTTGTACCCGCTCTCACACACATCTAGAATAAATAAAAAATAATATTTTAATTTTATTTTTTTTAAATTAAAATCAATAACATTATTTCACTCATTTAAAATAATAATCTTTTTGGACTGACTAGAACGTTTTAAACTATCTACTATTGAAACATAATTTTCTGAAATAACATAACATTATCAATGACATTATAATATATGAGGAGGTCCATTCCAAAACTCAGCTTATCCAATTTTTAATAAAAATGAGTTAGTGGTGTCTGTACATTTAACATGAAGCCCCCTATACCCTAAAAAGGTGATAATATTCTAAAATTCATTTACAAATTGACTATCGTTCCAAAACTTGCCTTATCTATAGGTTATATCTTGTCAGAACTGGCTTATACGTATGTAATTTTAAATTATTTGAAATTGGAGCTATACCTTTTTAATCAAGGTATATACATTATATACTTATGCCTATTTATTTCGTTTAAAGTATTCTGTGGGCCTGATATGCGTTAGTACTAGAGATGTCAATCCCGGGATCCCAAAGAAAAAAACGGTCTCGAAAATACCGGGAAAAGATTACCTAATTCCGGGATTAATACCGACTTTTTATGCAAATATTAACTAGCTTAAGTAATTAACGCGAAAGCCGACAACGTTACAGCCTGCAATCCGAAAACATGACGCACACCGGATACTTCAAATGTATCGATACCTTTGCTTAGGTATCGAGTACTTTTGGCATCGATACTTTTTAAACGATACCAAGGTGGTATCGACCCTTTTGTAGCGGTATCGGTATCGAAAATAATTGATTATTACACATACTTCCACACAATGTGTGGAAGTATGTGGATTATTATACTACCACCGCCATCTATTACGCAGTGGCTGAAGTGACCATTTATAGAAATTTTTAGGTTGTTTCAAAGAATAGGGTGTTTTTAGACTGTAATTTGACTTGAATTATTCGAGACGTTCTGCATTGATGGCACTGGTTCAGTGGCATAGGTTTCTGGGAATCACACATAAACCGCAAAATCTGTTTAAATATGCCATTAGCTGGCCATACACAGGCGTTATTTTGCGCGGTTTATCGTGGCGTGTTGGGATGTAGTGGTTAGTATGCACGAAAGAACGGCATGGCAAAAAAAGCGTCATGTTCCATACACTTGATAACCCTGCTTAAAATACCCCATAGAGACCTATACAAAATAATCTATCGGGCGCTACCGGATTCTATATGTGCATTTGTCCATGGGTTTTTCCGGATACAGCCCGATAGAAAATGTATAGGAAATTACCTATAGGCACACCATAACTTTTACATTTTCCCTATTGAGACCGATAGAAAATAACTCAATGAAGGATATATAGGGAAATCCCTATAGAGCAACCATAAAACATTTGACAAAATTTTATTAAAACCTATAGGGTCCTATAGGGAAAAAACTAATTTCTACATTTATGTGTATTTTCCCCATTGAAACCGATAGCAAATAAATCAATGGTGGATATCCCTATAGAACAACCATAAATCTCAACTACGGGTCCTATACAAACCGATACACCCTATAGAAACACCATACATCCCGATACAAATATCTATCGGTTTGAACAGGGTCTCTATGGGGAATTTTAAGCAGGGAAAGTATTCAAATGATTTAGCAAGTGATTGCGGGTAGTATATCAGTTTCAAAGGAAAAATCGTATGTGAGTGGCCAAAAAGTGTCACGTGACGCGGAATGTGGCGTGTGGACACTGCTGAAATGATGTACGCCACTATCCAGAGGAAAGCACGTCTGAAATACCTTCCCGTTCTATCATTGCGCGCGGCGATACTCACTCACGTACATGATTTTCCATATGTTTTTGCAGATAACACGATAAACCGCGCGCAATAACGTCTGTGTATGGCCAGCTATTGACAAGGAGTAATTATTGGTTATATTTTAAAAAATCAAGTTCTTCTACTGCTACATGTAAAAATGTACACATGTTTAGTAGTTTTTTTATATGTAAACTTTCGATACCGATACTTAAGAGTATCAAAACTTTTTCACAAAGCATCGGAAGGTATCAATACTTGGCAAGAAAGTATCGAATTGGTATCGGCATCGATACCTTTTACTATTTTCGCATACCCACCGCGCACCTGGCAGCGTGCTTTAGTGATGGGTCCAACCCGCACATTCTTGTGTGCTAGCACACGTTGCACAGCACACTACAGTGTGCGGCACTGTGCGTGTCGTACATTTGTGCGGGGTGGGGGAAAATGATTCAAATTGAGAATCTCGCACGTTTCACAGCTCAGCACACTTTGCGTGTCGTATCCAACTGTCGGTTTTGGATTTTTAATTGATGTAAAATCCAGTTTTATGTTTTTTTATGTTTATTATTAAAGTCGATAAATACAATTTTAACTTAAACCCTTTTTTGATAAGTGACAATTTTATTTTAATATAATTATAATATAGACTGTGTTGCCATCTATGGACATCACGATACATTATGGATTGGATATTTTTCAAAATATACAAACTGTTAATTATATAAAATAATTTCTCTACAACTTGTAACCTATTGTAGTGCCATCTACGTGTTCTGTGCTGAATCATAGAGTCACAGACGTAAAGATTCTTTACTAAAGAGCCATAACCTTTCTAATCTGTGAGCCATAGGTTAGATAAAGAGCTGTTTCGGCGCACCGTGCCACATATGAGAAAGGTGCCTTTTTGTATCTCTGGGTGCTATGTGTAGCACATTTAAAGAGTCGTACCAGCTCCGCACACACAAAAGTGTCGTACATTGTGTACGACTAGCACATGTGCGACCCATCACTAGCGTGCTTGACACGAGGATATCAGAACGAGAACTGCAGTGGTACCAGCAAGAGGTAGTAAGATCGGGCTAATAACCTCAATGATTTAGAAATCCGCATAACTAATTTGTTGGGGGATATTAGTCCAGAAGTCCTAGCTAATGTGCGTGGGAATTTTTATAATAGGTTAGGCTATTGTTTGGCTGCCTATGGGGGCTTGTTCGAACATTTAATTTAATTTTTGAGTTTATTTATTTTTAGAGTTTTATTATTATTTATATTCAGAATTATTTTTTATTTAAGAAATCTTTTTTATTAAGAATACTATTTTTTGTTGTTGCCCTAGTTCTCAAGGAAAAAAATCAAAAATTTTTATTTTTACGATTCGGGTATAAAATATTTAAAAAGAAAATTAAAATGTGCATCTACACTCAAACGCATTTTGCTTAACACTAAATGCAGCCAGACTGGCTGCCAGAGTTGACCTCGCTTACAATTCGCACGCATCCGGCTCTGGCCAATCAAATTCTATTTGGCGTTCTTTCCTTGTTCTTTTTAGGTGGGTATTGAACACTGTTCAATGAACAGTTGTCCTTTCCAGCCCGGTCGGACTTAATATTGCAAGCACTGTATATATTATATTTATACAATTGGGTTTAAGGTAGTAAAAGTGGACCAACCATTTTTTTAGGTAGATACCTACTATACAGTAATGCTATAAAAAAATTTGACATCTATATTTACAGATCTGTTCGAAAAATATATACCTATTAGGTATATATGACCATACATGAACATAATATGTATATGTTATATAGTCATATAGGTATTATATATAGTATACTATATTTAATATATGACTATATATGTTTATATATGGTCATACATACCCAATAGGTACATAATAGGTAGGTACATATATGTGATTTATGTGATTAATTATTTTGGATCCAAAATAAATAATAATAAATCACATATAATAATACAGGGTGTCCCACCGGAAATTTCGTTTTTGAATTTGAAATAAATCTTTTATTTATTAAGATATTTTATTGAAAAAAATTGCAAAACAAACTTTATTCTGTGGGAAATTATTTGTGATAAATGGTATCAGCTAAATGACCCCCGTTGCGTCGTATGCATTCTTCTAAACGACCTCTAAAATTGATCATCACACGTGAAAGCACATCAGGTGTAATCTCACGAATTTCTCGGGTAATATTGTCCTTCAATGCTCTTAAATTTCTTGGCGAATCCTCGTACACTTTAGATTTAAGATAACCCCAAAGGAAGAAATCCAAAGGAGTCAGATCCGGGCTGCGGGGTGGCCAATTTAGTGTACCTCTCTTTGAAATGATGCGATCACGAAAAATTTGACGAAGAGGTTCCATAACGTTATTTGCGGTATGAGAAGTGGCCCCATCTTGCATGAACCATATTTCCTGATTTCAACATTAGCTGACGAAGAGAAGGGACTAGAAAGTTGTTTATCATGCCTAGGTACCGTTCTGAGTTGACTGTAACTATTCTACCGCGCCCGTCTTCGAAAAAGTAAGGACCGATTATTCCATTTATTCCAAGAGCCGCCCAAACTGTCACTTTTGGGGAATGCAGCGGATTTTGATGTTCGAGGGTTATCATCACACCAATATCGACAGTTTTGTTTGTTAACGTAACCGTGGAGGTGGAAATGTGCTTCGTCAGAAAAGATCAAGTTGTTAAAATCTTCGAATTGGTCTAAAAAAACGCGAGCGGCTTCCATTCTGACCTGGAAATCTTATTCTTTCAACTCTTGAACAAGTTGAATTTTGTACGGGTGCAATTTAAGATCATTTTTCAAGATTCGGTGTACACTTGATTTTGTTAAACGCAACGCAGCGGCATGTTTTCGAACCGAACGTCGTGGATTAGTCAAAACAGCCTCTTGCATCCGTTCGCTGTTTTCCGGCGTTCTTGCTGTTTTACGGGGGCCTTTATTTATTGTTGGGGCTGTGGAACCTGTCCTCTCGAATTTCGTCACCCAACACTTGATTAATTTTACAGATGGAGCGCCATTTATGTGTCTAAGGCCATGATAACCACTAAAAAACCGTCGCGCTGCTATCAAAGAACGGTCATTCTCGTAATACGCTTTTACGCAAAGAGCGCGGTCTGCACCTGTAAAGCTATCCATATCAAATAAATTCCCAAAAGACAAGCTTCGTTACATGCACCTAAATTTTAAAATCGCGCAGTCGTGTTTCGAGTTATTTTAAATTTAAAAACGAAATTTCTCGTGGGACACCCTGTATATGACTATATATGATTATATATAATTTTTTTTCCGGGATCGGATAAAAAAGCAAAGATATTTGATATTTGATGTAATTAATATGGTAGTAATTTTATAATATATATATAATAATATATATATATATAATTTTATAATATATATTATATAAATATATATGGGGCAAAATTTGCCAAGTGTACCAGGTGAAAAAATTTTTGTCACCGATTTTGTTTAAACTTTACTTATTTGTTGTTCTTATAACGAAGAATCATAGCATAAAATTTTTTTGCTCTAGGATTGTTCATTCAAAAGTTATGGATTATTGAAATTGATCGATTTATTACTTTTTGGTGAAATCGCTTTTTATTTAAAAATTCATAACTTCTGTTCATCTCTTTATTAAATATTTTAATTTAACCACCTTAATTGATTTTTTCCGTACTTTTTAATGGGCTATACCGTTTTTGCAACAAAAAAAAAATTTGCAATTTTTTTTTGAAATTTTGCAATATTTTGCATTTTTTTAAACAATGTGTATTTTTTAATTTTTTTTTAAATAGCATAAAATCGAAGTTTATTATGTTACCTTTAAATAAAAAAAAAATTTAGAGTGGGCCCGACATGTAGAAGGGAAGTTTTTCATATTTGAATGCGTGCGGGTCTAGCCATCGAATAGCTACTACACTGCCGTATGCGTTTATACCTAGTAGATGCGAGTAAACGAATACAAAATGATAATTTAAAATGTAAAATTATGTTTGAGTAGTCAATGATATATTTTAAATATTTACACTGCCGCACGATATAGTTTTTTAACTGTATTTTTTTGCACAAATTGTTTAAGCATGGGTCTACATAGATTTCGCAAGGAGGATCGATGATATTAAATAAAAAATTTATTGTTATAACCGTAACGGTTTGCCTATAAGCTGAATAGGTCAATGGCGTTAATAATATATAATGTCTATAAACGGTTTTTGCTGTCATGACGAGCTCTAAACATTCGCCGTACGGACATTACTTACTTTTTAAACCGTAACGGTCAGTCAGAATATTTGTGTTGCAAATCGGCAGATTAAAATATGATTTTTTTAATTTAATTAATTACAGATTAAAATATGATTTCGTAATTCGGAGGATTTTTGGCGGATATTACTAGAATAATGTTAATTTTTATTTTTGTGGCTAAAGTAAAATACAGAAAGAATAAAGTGTTGGTGTTGTTTTTCTTCAATTTTTCGCCCTACCATACTAATTTTACATTTTAAATTATCATTTTGTATTCGTTTACTCGCATCTACTAGGTATAAACGCACACGGCAGTGTAGTAGCTATTCGATGGCTAGACCCGCACGCATTCAAATATGAAAAACTTCCCTTCTACATGTCGGGCCCACTCTAAATTTTTTTTTTATTCAAAGGTAACATAATAAACTTCGATTTTATGCTATTTTAAAAAAAATTAAAAAATACACATTGTTTAAAAAAATGCAAAATATTGCAAAATTTCAAAAAAAAATTGCAATTATTTTTTTTTTGCAAAAACGGTATAGCCCATTAAAAAGTACGGAAAAAATCATTTAAGTTGGTTAAATTAAAATATTTAATAAAGAGATGAACAGAAGTTATGAATTTTTAAATAAAAAGCGATTTCACCAAAAACTGATAAATCGATCAATTTCAATAATCCATAACTCTTGAATGAACAATCCTAGAGCAAAAAAATTTTATGCTATGATTCTTCGTTATAAGAATAACAAATAAGTAAAGTTTAAACAAAATCGGTGACAAAAATTTTTTCACCTGGTACACTTGGCAAATTTTGCCCCATATATATCTTTGTTATAGGTATGTTTACCTTCTGAATATATTTTTTCGTGTATATTTACAAACAAAAATACTGTCTACCGATTTACATTTTAGATGATTTTATTGGCCAAAAAACAAATCTAGTAAACCATGACTTATATTAGCGAAATTATTTTCTAGTTAAAAACAAACGTCACAAATGTCAAAGAAATCTTAATGAAATTTAAATTGTTTTATGTCTAATTTAAAATGTCAATGTATAGAAATCGACTTTTTTAGGGAAAATATAAACATTGAAAGATAATAACCCAATTTATTTTATAAAACAACAGTTTTTAAAGAAAAATACTGCGTTGCCATGTTGTGAAAAAACCTTTATCCACTGATATGCTAAATCAGTTGATATAAATAGATCAACGTTTCTGCATACGGCCGGCCCTTAATATTGTATATATGGGGCTTTTGCTTAGCAGGGCAGTACAGTGGAGGACAAATTTCGATCATCATAATTTGGTCGCCCTTGTGTGATTCTGCTGTTTTGCTTTTGCTGTCAAAATGACAAAAATAATCTGTGGAATAGTGATAACCAGAAAGAAGTAAGGGGACATCCATTAATTACGTGATGCATTTTTCTGATAATTTGGACCCCTCCTCCACTTTTGTGAGATGTGGTAGACCCCCCTCACGTGAGATTTTAGCCATTAAACTTTCTTTGCGGACAACCTGATAAACCCCAAAAAGAATGATAATATATTTTTAACAAATTTTGAATTATAAAACATATTTTTTAAACTCAAAAGTTGACGTGAGATTTAAAATGCCCCCCTCCCTTAAAATGAGATTTGGTGAGATTTTGCTAGGTTAGTTGTCCATAAAGGTAGTTTTAGATTTTGTCAATGTATGGATAAGTTGTTCAAATTTCCGTGTCCCCCATCGTACCTACATAAAATTAAAAAAGACTACGCTAACAAATGTCATATTAATTTTAAGAAATATCCAGGGCAATAGGTAAATTAACAGTTAAACAGAAATTTAAAGAAAATATAAGATAAGTAAGAGTTACCAAAACTAAGTTTTCAACTGATCTAAAGTAACTCTTAAAGTTAATAAACATCATTCCTGACCTACCTTACTTTAAATTTAAAGTTTATCACTAGTAAGCTGTTACAGTGTTGACCTTGTGCAATCTAATATTTATCTAGTTATTTTGAATCTTGTTTTTAAAAAGCACATATATATTTATAGAAAACATACCATTTTCCGAATATACCGCAGGGAACTGCCAAATTGGTCCAGGATTGCCTTGTATGTCATTTAAATGATCCTGTAGTAACTGAAGAGTAACTTCGTCCTTGGCCAAAGCCATGGGTGTAACGCCTGCATATGTGGCCAAGGAAGGATCCGCACCGTATGATAAGAGCAACCTCACAATCTCAACAAAACCATTTTCAACTGCCTCGTGAAGCGGCCTTTAAAACAAATTTATCAAATTAGCGACTATATTCAAAACAGGTTAAATAACAATTTACCTAATGCCTCCTTGTGCCGATTCACTGGCATTGGCACCATACATTAATAATAATTTAGCTATGTCAAGGTGCCCTCTTGAGCATGCCTCATGCAATGGAGTGTATCCAGCATTATCTTTCGGTGACGGAATGCAGTCCATTTTTTCCAAACAGTATGCCGTAATGTCCTATAATAAAGTCAATATTTAACAAGTCAATAGTTTTTGCTGGGCAATTTTAACTTATTTATATTAATTGAGCAGACTTAAAGGAAGATAAACATTTTCTATAAATTTTAAAACGTTTATTTAATTATTTGAAATAAGTTATTTTAAATTTTCCTAAAAATTTTGAGGTAACTATGAAGAATAACGTTATTTTTTAAATATAAAGAATTAATAAAATTAAAATCTCGCCCAACAGCGATTGTTGATCCACGGACATGTGTACATTAGACTGGGCCAAAAAAATCAACTATTTTTTTTTTGAAAGTATATCGAAAATATGGTTTTGGGTGAAAAAAAAAATATTGTAAAAGTTTGAGTCCATAATATTAATATTAAGAGCGAGTTTTTGTCTCAGAACTCCCAAACCATTGAGTTTAACAAAATTGACTCAGATATATTTTTTTAAGGAAATTAAATGTTCTACAAAAAAGGTTGAAATAAAATTTTCCGTCAGATGAACCGTTTCCTTAAAATCATGCCTTAAAAATTGAATACTGATTTTTACATGAATTACAAAATTCCAAAGTTAAAAGATCAAATTGTAAAACTATACCAATTTTTAAGTCATGATTGTAAGAAAACGGTTTATCTGACGGGAAATTCTAATCAAACCTTTTTTGTAGAGCATTCAATTTTCTTTAAAAAATATTCCTAAGTAAATTTTGCTAAACTCAATGTTTTGCGAGTTCTGAGACAAAAACTCGCTCAGGAAAACAAAATCTAAAATTGCGATGATAGACCTTTTAATATTAATATTATGGACTCCATAATTTGTTGTCACCCCAAACAATATTTTTGATATACAAAAGGCGATTTTTTTGGCCCAGTCTAGTGTACATGTATAATGATTATAATCATTAAAAAAGTAATTAATTATAAACGTACCGTAAAACCCAGCCTTGCCGCCCGATGTAAGTGCGTCTCGCCTATTCCTTTATTTAATACCCAGGTTTTTATTTCTTTCTGGATATCCTGAACTGATTCAGGCGAAGCCTTAGGTGGCCCGCCTCTACGTTTAATCCTTACAGCGCTACTTTCAGTCTCTTCCTTTTTGGTTTTTTTCTTCTTTCTTATGTAGTCAAAACCAGAACTAAACTTTCGTCTTATAATTCTTAGTTTGCTTTTCTTTTTACCAGAAATGCTGCCTTCGTCGTCAATTGAAGGAGTTTCGGATTTAACTTCAGGGTTTCTTTCGTTCAAAATGTTTTTCATTATGTCTTCTTCGTCGTCGACCTCATCATGCACTTCAATTTTGATTTTTTTGTCCTTGTCAAATTCGTTGATACTGATGCGTTTTTTGCCTTTGTTTAATATTTTATTTTTTAGCATCTGCTTCGTATCAACTGGTTCTGTTTGGAATGTTTCATTATTTTTAACTTCTGCTTTAGGTTCGATTTTTACAGGTTTTTCTATAACTTCCTCTTTAATACGAACTTCGTTGACACAAGTCGTGGGTGGCGCCGATGCCGGCCGATCGTCTCCAAATACCTCTTTGATTGTAGCTCTTTGTTTTAACACTCGCGACTCATTTCTTGTCCGTGAACTTAGCACTACCGTCGCGAATTTGTTAACACCTAAGATATTACTAGCACTTTTAATAAATTCGTCTTTAAAGTTTTCCATTGTCTTTTTCCGAAAACCTAATATGGCGGATTCGCTTTTGATTATCGGAGTTATCTGTTTTTTGTCCTCTTCTAGTTTTTTTATTTCCAAGCTTGGAGTAGGTAAAAGTTCGACGGGGTTCTCCGCTTTCGGTATCACTTTGGGAAGACCATCGTCCTTTTTTTTGTGTTTTCGCTTCTTTCTACCCCCACATTTTTCTAGTAGTTTGTCTAAGATTGAGTTGCCCTCTTTAGCTGTGTTTGGAAGACTTTTTATAGATGATCCGCCCTCAGAATCGTAACTGTTATGTTTGCTAAACAAATTAAAACTACAGTTTGAGTCGACATCGCTATCAAGATTTTCTGACTTAACCTTGTGCATTTTTTTGGACGACTCTGATTCGGTTGTGACTGACGGTGTTGGTGAATGCGGGGTCGGATCCAGATCAGGTAGTGATGTAGATAATCTATGGAATTGGGGTGGTCGTGAAACTTGGATTAAGCTTGGAGGCATTCTTAAAGATTTTTTGTACTTGTAGACACTTTCCTCCCAACCAGGGTAGAAATCAGAACCGTCTCCAAACGAAGGTTTCTTTGCAGGTCTCGTGATAGTAGGAATATCCAACTTTACGGTTTTATCATTTTTATTGGTTAAAGAAGTTTCAATTTTGTTGTTGGTTGTATTGTCAATTTCCTCTTTTTTAATATATTTTGATTCTTTATTAACGCTTGAGACTAGCTTTTCAGGTTCCGTTTCACTTTCGCTTGTGGACACAAGCCTTCTTATATTTCTCTTATTGATTCCTCCCACAGCCAAATCATTGTTTTTCTCGACCTCGTCAAATTGTTCTAACTTAACAATTAGTTTATTTTCCTTTTCGATGTACCGCTCCAACGGCATATTCATTTCATCGTCATCGTCGGTTTGTTTTTCATTGGCAACCTCTTCATCGTTCGTTACAGTGTCATCAACTGGTTCAGTTTTTATGACAATTTCATTACTCACTGGGTTTTCTTTGGTAGTAGGTTCCTCTATTTTTACTGGCACGTCTAAAGGCACAACCTTTTTCCGTCTGCCCTTCTTTTTGCCACCGCCATTCTTCAATTGATCCATAAAATTATCACACATATGCGCAAACATGTCGTCTCCCGGACTTGGAGGTTTTGGGGAATCCAACTTAATTTCCGAGTTTGGCACGTTCGGTTTTGGTTTTCGTTCTTTTCTCATAGCGTGCAACGATCGCCTTTCCGTGTCGTTTTCTGAATCGGAATCTGGGAAATCGTATATCGACGTTTCCGAGGAGCTGCGTAATCCTGATTTATCTCTGTGTGGGACGTTATTGCTACTCATCTCCTCCTCAGTTTTACTAAATAATCTCCTTCTCGGGGGTATAAGGGAGGCCCTTTCTTTTAATAGTTTAGGAGGACTAACACTAGTGTTCGTGCTGGATGAACCAAACGAGGAGTTGGTTTCTTGTCTATAGGGAGATTTAAGCTGACTTTCTATAAAGCTTGGAAAATTTTTTCCAGGCGCATTATTTGCCGTGATACCTCCTTGTTTTAACTCTCCTTTGGTTCGTATCCGTGCTGCAACTAACGCAGCCAATCCATCATATTCGTTATTTGAACTATTGTTGAGAAGTATTGTTTGCATATCAGCGTTTGACTTTATGTCCATGTTTAAGTTTTTATTGTCTAAATTGTAATTAACGGAATCAATAGCTTTAGGCATGTGGAACTTGTACATCGCCATTCCATTGCTGGTGTCTGGGAAACTGGTTGGTGTGAAGGGAGAGACGTTATTTCTGCTTATAAACCCCGGTTTAGGTTGCATTGGAGCTGTCACGTCTGTTGAAGGATGTTGTATGTCTGATCTTCTAAGATGCTGAGCATTCTCTTGAAGTTTTGACTGCTCTAATTTCTTTAGTTCTTTAACCTCCAAACTGTTTCGTAGCAAACTCAGCACACGCTTATCGGCGCCTCCTCCTAGGTTGTGTTTGGCTGTGTACATGGAGGAGGTAGAATTTGATCGAGAAAGTGGATACTGATATCCAGGTTGTTGCGGTTGATGCTGCTGCTGCTGCTGTTGTTGTTGGTGGTGGTTTGTAAAAGAAGGGGAATACCCTGGATATTGATGAGACGCAGCAGAGGGAACGTAAGTTTGATTATGCTTATTTTGATGATAACTTGTATAGGGAATTGGATTTGGATAAGGTTGTCGAACGGAATAACTTTCTTTTTTTACTAGCGGATATCCTCCATTATGGACATTTTCATTTACACCCGTCTTACTTTTTTCTTGTTGGTCTTGTTGGTAACTTAAAAATCTTTGATCAATCTCATTATCGATGGACTGCCTCCAAGGATCAATTTTGGTTATTTTCTTGGGTATGGCAGGTGGACCTGCCTCTGCAACTCGTTTTTTATTTAATTCCTGATTATACATTTGACTTGATTGTTTAATGTTGTTGGGTAGATTCGGTGTAACTCTTGGCATCTCTGGATTTTTGTTAATTAAATGTGAAGTTAATTGTGCACTGGAAATTGGTACAGTGGGATAACGATTTGCTATATTTGATTGGTTTGGGTGATTGGGTGGATACATTCGACTGCTCGAATGCGCTTTGTTTATCACAGTAGTATGTCGTTGAACATCGGCAGGAGGGAATCCTCTGGGCTGATTAAGGGAAGAAGGTATGGTGAAATCGGGATGAAATTCGACTTTCGGGACGCTTGCACTTGGCACTGGCTGCGGTTGGGAAGATCTTTCGGTTAGATTCCTTTGAAATGAATTCACATCGTGTTGCGGGTAACTGTGGGCGGATATTGACAAATGCGCAGATGGGCGGGTTCTAGAGTAGTATTTTAGTCCGACATCGTTTTCGGCGTCGTCAAGCGTCGAGTCTGCGGACGTTCGAACCGTTTTCACAGATAAATCGAGAGGTGATTCCTTTTTTGGTTTTAATATTGGAGCCAATCGTCCGTTCGCATTAACATCAACTGCATGCTGGGTCTGAGGTATGTTTGATTGGTGGTTTGATAAGACGTTCAAAGGGGCTTGAGTTGTCGTTGGTGGTGGTGCCAGACTATTGTTTATGTTGGATTGATGGTATTGGTTGGAAGACTGATGCGTGGACGAAAAAGAACCACCTGTTGTTGAAGACGCCATAATAATGCTGTTGTAGGATTGCGTTGTTGAAGTGGTAACGTACTGGTAATTTTGATTTGATTGCGGTTGACTACTATGCGTCGATACGTTTCGGTATTGGTTGTAACTATAGGATGAGTATGGTAACGAGACATTGTTTCGAATAACGTTGGCATTACTTATTGGCTGTTGCTGCTGCTGCTGCTGCTGTTGATATGAGCAAGAGGCAGGTGGGATGGAAATCGAGGCTGTTCTTGCTCGACTGTCATTTGTTCTTACTGGCTCTCTATTACTTCTGGCATTGCAGTTTATACTAGCTAATGCAGCTATCGGGGGTAAATTGTGTGTCGTCTTAAAATGTTCACTACGGACAGGTATGCTCGCATTCGATGATGTTTTTACTTCAGGATGCCTCTGCATCTGAGAATTTTGTACATTAGGTAACGAATTTTGATGTTGCGCAAGGTAAGCTTGTTTATAGTAAGCATTTTGAGAGTTCTGATATCCTTGGTGAGAAGTTCCTGACATTGAAGTGTTTGGGACTGTGTTTATAGGTTTTGATTGAGGTGGTACTGGATATTGTCGTGAATGTGGATAGTTCTGATATAACTGAACGGATTGCATGGGATGGATTACTTGTGGTTCCTGAGAACGTGGTGTTTGTATTCGCGAGGGGGAAGGGTTTTGTCGATACGTTGCATTCGTGGTGATATGTGGCTGATATTGAACGTTGTGATTGGAGGTGACCTCTCTCGAATGAGGCCTGGAGAACTGAAATTGAGTTTGGGATGTCGGTGGCTCGTGGTGGTAGGAACTTTGGTAGTGAGTCAAACGGTTTAGTTCGTTTGCCATGTACTGGGGGTGCAGGGACGGCGGCGGTCCGGCGGTGTCCGAACTGTGTGACGACGGCCTTTGTTGAACGGGAGTTGGCTCTCGCGTTGAAGGCCTCTGTTGATCCTGCGCCTGGGGCCAATACGTGCCCAACGACGGAGGCCTGTCTCTACTAGGGTTATGTTCGTTTTCATTTCGGTTATGGCTATCGGAGAATGCGGGGCTTGCCCTTGAGCCACTGCCCGCTGGCAGCCCCTGAAAATATTGTCGCGCCCCCTCCAATACGTTTGTAAACGTAACATCCATGACCTGCAGGTTAAACCTGCCGTCAAGTTATCTGTAACAAAAATAAAACACGATTGATATTTTAATTAATAATTTTGATTATTATACTCGTAAAAGTAAGATGCAGATTTACCTGTAGCTGACACATTAAAGCCAGCTGTTTTTTAAATTAAAATCCAACTTGTAAGCGATACAAATCCTGGGCTTAACATGGCGTTACCACACAAGGGGAATAATGTCAATAAAAAACAGACTGTAGATACAAAAAAAGGAATCCATTTAATAAATTGCGTATTTTATATACAACGATGCAAATACCCACTATACTTTCACAACTTTCTCCTTGTGTTGCATACCTACTGCGTAATAAAATTTTATCCAAGATACGAAAATAGATTTACTGTAAATTAAATAAGACACTAAAGGGAAATTGTTGATAAAATATATTCATAATTTTATTTATCTGCCTTATTAATTAACATAACAATCAAATGGAATTTTCTAATGGCAATTGTAGCTGTTAAACTGTATTCTTTAAATAGGTATTGGTATTTAAATTTAATTATTTGGTTTGATACAGAGATTGCAAATAGTTGTATTGTATATGTTGTATTAAGTAACAAATCCAGATGAGCCCGTAGATATATTGATAAAATTGTAAACAGTTTACCAGTAAACAATTTTATAATGCTATTCAAGAAACCGTTTATCTTCTTCAAGCTTGAGAAACGCAGCACGCTGCGAAATATCCGGAAATAGGTTGAAAATAGAGGTCGGACATGCGAGCCACTCCGCTTTCGCTAAATCGCATTATGACATATAGTTAACTTTATAAACGTCTATATTTCTAGTGTTCTCAGCTGTGGGATATAAAAATTATTTTTTGTTTGACTATTTTCCGTAAATAAACATTACAAACAAAAATAAAAGACGCGTGCAAAAATCTTCTAAGAGATAATAAGAAAAAAGTTTAAGACTTTTTGTGTGCATTGTAAGTAAAATGCGTAAACGAGCATGCAGGATTAGATTACCAAAAATCTTCTAAGAGATAATAAGAAAAAAGTTTAAGACTTTTTGTGTGCATTGTAAGTAAAATGCGTAAACGAGCATGCAGGATTAGATTACCTATTTATATCTGTGTCGGGTATTCGGAATGTAAAGTCAAGTTCGCAACAGTCGCAGAATCTAGGTCAATGGGCGTTCAAATACCGTTATGTTAAATTGTCGATCGGAATTCTTTTTACAAGTTATTTCGTTTGTTAGGACTTAAAAAGGCAGTTTTAATTAAATATAAGTTTTTTAGAGGCATAAAAATATATTTTCCAAATAAACAAGACAACTAACTTCAAAGGTGTGTGATTAAAACACTAGCCTGCCATCTAATTAATCTTGTTTGTTAGATTAGTATTGTTAACAATTGTTTTTTTTTACTTATATTAGCAGGGCCGCATTTAGGACGTAGCTAGCCGGGACATGGCCACAGGACTTCCACCAATGCGATGAAAATCAATTTTTTTCAATTGATTTTTAATCTGATTGAAAGGGAACAGTTTGTTTTTATTATAAATCACATATAAATTCCCGCGCATATACTCAATTTTGGTCATGAGGCGAAGATTCTGGTCAAGCTCTTTTCCACGGACTCTTAAATTATGGAAAAGTGCCTGTTGTGTATCCATTACTGAATCTTTCCTACCTGTCATCGACCAACTCATCGAATCGTTAAATAAACGAAATTTAGCATACGAAGTTTGGTTTCTTGGCTGAAACGACCACAACGTTAAAATTGATGGCTGAGAATCTCGTACATTCTTATCCTGAAAGTTCGATTTAGCTAGTGAATTAATACATCTCGCAAAGCAGTATGAAAAGAAACAGGGTAAATCGAATAACATTTTTCTATATCGGATAATTTTGCAAAATAATGTACGGTTTATTTTTGCAATGCATTAAAACACGAATGTAGTTATCGATTATGGTGACGAGTTGCAGTAAGGAAAGATCTTTTTCGAAACTAAAGATGGTAAATTCTCATATAACTTGTTTCGATGCTGTATCCACTTATTTTTGTGAAAACTAATTCTCGCTCAAGGTTTTTTTAGTGTAATGAGCATGTAGCATTTTAAGGTAATGGAAACTTAAATTATGACAACCCTAATCTATTAATTTTTTCCTAAAATGCAGGCTTTATGTTGCAAATGTCACGTAAGTTACCGGTCACCAACTGCAATATCCTAACATTGATGAATATTTTAACAAAATGGCTGTTGAAACAACTAATGTTAGTGCTTGATTAACTAAAAATAGACTTAAGATTGACGAAAAATTATTTTATCCGAAAGTAGAACTTTACTGCCGATTTATTTTAATTTACGATTGTTGACTACTTTACTGCCGATTTCGGATAAAATAATTTTTTGTCAATCTTAAGTCTATTTTTAGTTAATCAAGCACTAACATTAGTTGTTTGAACGGCCATTTTGTTGAAATATTCATCGATGTTAGGATATTGCAGTTGGTGACCGGTAACTTACGTGACATTTGCAACATAAAGCCTGCATTTTAGGAAAAAATTAATAGATTAGGGTTGTCATAATTTAAGTTCCCATTTCCTTGAAATGCTACATGCTTATTACACTAAAAAAAACCTTGAGCGAGAATTAGTTTTCACAAAAATAAGTGGATACAGCATCGGAACAAGTTATATGAGAATTGACCAGATAACTAAAAAGATTGGGAACAACAATGAAGAAAGGGCGAAGTTTATTTATATCCAGAAAAGTTTAAGGGGTCTCCATCAAATGTTGGTCCCAGGACCTCCAAATTCTTAATGAGGCCCTGTATACTAGTAATAGCATGTTGCCATATTAATCCAGATCTTGAATAATAATTATTAAAAGATATTTAAAACAAGAATGTATTTGTTTTGCGGTTATAATAGGTATAGGGTGCTGCAAAATATACCCAGAAATGGAATATTGTTATATTGTTGTTACTTCCTTGACAACTGTCGAGTGTAATAGTATATTCGGTAACAAGTTTGGAATGCTGCATATTCCGCTCAAGTGAAAAGTTTGTTACACGAGCCGAAGGCGAGTTTGACGGTTTCACGAGAGCGATTACGATTACAAAAAAAAACATAGAAAAATAATTTCATTGGGAAAAAGTGAGGTTAGATCGGTCTAAAAGTTGTTAGATAATAAACACAGAGATGTCGCCACCAGTGTTTATTCCATTATCCGATGATAGAATAATTCATTCTGGAACACTTTTCCACATTAAAAAGTAATATTCGAACGGTCTTATTCCATAATAGAAGTAATTTTTTATTAAATTAGAAAGATGCAGAATTTTGTTATGGAGCGTTATTCGCCCAAGAACGCGCAAAAATTTTAACTCACTCACACTTTTACTATTTCAGGTAATTTTGACAAAATCGCAATTAAATATGGAGAAATTTGTATTATGGAAAAGAAATATAACTATAGTTGCTGTCGTTCCGGCTCACCTCATACAAAAAATCATGTAGAACTATTTTTTGTAATTCCAATTTCATCTTTCGTACGTCAAATTTTAAACATGATATGTTTACATAGACATTTTTGTTGTATTCAAACATCCATGTTTTATAAAAGTTAATAATGTAGTAAACATAAAACATTGCAATTTTATTGTTATCTTTTTTCTTCTTTTATAACTTTAAATAAAAAGTAATAATCGAATTTTATTCTAAAAATATCGTTCACTAATTTCATTGCCTACCGTAAATCTGGATTATCAGACGGAAATGAAATAACGCGTGGTATTATATTCGTTTAATTTTTTATTTAAGATTTTATAATATATTCAACACCATATTGACAGTATTAATCAATGTTGTTGGATTTATTTAAATAAAATTACAAAAATAATTACATAGTATAATATGTATCAAGTTTTATAAACCATTTTAGTTACGAGTTTTATTAGACACGAGCGAAGCTTGCGAGTGATTAATAAAACGAGTGTCTAGAGAAGTTTATAAAACGAGTTGCATACTATACTATATCTACGACGAACACAAAGAAGAATTTAAATCCAATTTTATTTGTTAAACATTTGACATCTGTCAACTTTAAACGGATTTAACCTCACTTTTTCCTAATTTATAATAAAGCTAACTTCAGCTTGTGACTAAAATGCCTAAAAGCCACTATTGCTTACTTCAGCCCATGACTAAAATGCCCAAATCCACTATTGCTTACTTCAGCTCGTGACTAAAACACCCACAGCTCGTCAATGTAAGAGTACCTAGATTCGAGAAGATAAATAAAATTAATAGTACATTATCTAACAGGCGCAGAAAGTGCTTATTCAAAGCCGGGCTCAGTGTTCGCTGCCGAGCGTTTAATAATAATTATTATGTACTTACATCGAAATGATCAAGTTTACGACATTTTGTCAGGTTTGATGTTTGACATATATTATATTATAAATTTATTCTAAAGTGTAAGTTTACATTTTCGAGCTAAACGCGATAGATGGAACCACTCTTTTAATGTATTTTCATTATTGTACGATGGTGTATAATAATTTGAAGTGTTATAATATGAAAATTATTTTAAATAAAAAAAAATAGTAGGAACATCAATTATAGACCAGGCAGAGAAAGCACATGTTATCGCCGAGCATACATTTACTGCCGAGGCAGTAGATTGTGTGCGAGGCAATTAATAAGCTTTCGCCGCCGAGTTTTATACTATTTTTTCTACTCCCACCTTTAAAACGCCCCTTATCGTACATGTTTCCATGACACTAAGTGACCTTTTAAATACACATTGACAAGTTGTGGCTTTATAGCGCATTAGTCACGGGCTGAAGTTAGCAACAGAATTTTAGTCACGGGCTGAAGTTAGTTTTAAGTTAAAATAGTGCCTTTCTTGTAAAATAATACTAAATGTGAAAATTATGTTATTATCTCAATACAAAAATACAAAAGTAATAAATAGTTTCTCAACGCCAATATTTGAAAAGTTTATATGAAAACTATAACTTAAATTCGGACACGGACTCCACTGTAAAGTGCTCTTAAAATATTTTCTTTACTTTCACTGTAAAAAACTGTCAATTTTCAAGAAATACATTTCGATTTATAACCTTTATAATCTTTGTTTAGAAAATCAAAAAATTTGACATTTGACGGTGACACACAGATTCCCCTATTGTTTCATAGATGGCGCTCTATACAAATATTTGAATTAAATCATTTTAAGACAATAATAAGGATTTGTCTTAGAAAAAGTATAGTATGCAACTCGTTTATAAACTTTTCTATAGACTCATTAATTTAAGCACTCGCTCGCAAGCTCGCTCTTGCCTAAATTAAATTTGTGTATAAAATGGCGTTTATCAAACTTGATACATAATATACTATTTTCTACTCCCACCTTTAAAACGCCCTTTATCGTACATGTTTCCATGACACTAAGTGACCTTTTAAATACACATTGACAAATTATGGCTTTATGGCGCTTAAGTCACGGGCTGAAGTTAGTTTTTAGTTAGTTGACAGTTGTCAAATGTCATACAATCGTTAAAATAAAGTGCCTTTCTTGTAAAATAATACTAAATGTGAAAATTATTTTATTATCTCAATACAAAAATACAAAAGTATTAAATAGTTTCTCAACGCCAATATTTGAAAAGTTTATATGAACATTGTACTGACCTTTTAAGTTCGCCGGCAGTAAACTATAACTTAAATTCGGGCACGGACTCTACTGTAAATTCCTCATAAAACATTTTCTTTACTTTAACTGTGAAAAACTGTCAATTTTCAATGTACATTTCGATTTATAACCTTTATAATTGTGTTTATAAAATGTAAAAATGTGACATTTGACAGTTTCCCCTGTTGTTTCATAGATGGCGCTCTATAAAAATTTTTGATTTAAATCATTTTAAGATAATAATTGGTATTTGTCGTAGAAAAAGTATAGTGCCGGCGAAATTAAAAGGTAAGTACAATGTTCATATAAACTTTTCAAATATTGGTGTTGAGAAACTATTTAATATTTTTGTATTGAGATAATAAAATAATTTTCACAGTTAGTATTATTTTACAAGAAAGGCACTTTATTTTAACGATTGTATGACATTTGACAACTGTCAACTAACTTCAGCCCGTGACTAAAATCCTGTTGCTAACTTCAGCCCGTGACTAATGCGCTATAAAGCCACAACTTGTCAATGTGTATTTAAAAGGTCACTTAGTGTCATGGAAACATGTACGATAAAGGGCGTTTTAAAGGTGGGAGTAGATAAAATAATTTATTGAATTTATTAAGATTCAAAGATATTTAATTTTTAAGTTTTGGGGCATCCCTTTAAGAAACACCCTTATATTAAACGAAATAAAAAGCCTAGGAATGTTGGTATAAGAGTTGAAATATATTATTTTACAAAATTTAAGGTATCATTATACAGTGTGTCCCCGGATCGAATTGCCAATAGGAAAAACTTTTTTAGACCTAATACAGCTAAATCGAGCACGGATTCAAGGATCTACGACCAAAAATTATATTTACATGTCCGAGCGTTTAGCTTCTGAATGGGATTGATTAAAAGTGTAAAACTAATATTTTTAAATTTTAACATACCTTTTATTATGTAATTTTATAAAGTTATCCAGCTGTGCGACGCAGCCAGCCCGTGGCTGGCGTCAATAAAAATTTGTCCCACATTCTGTAAAAAAAACACAGTGTTTATATTAATTAAGTCGGTAATTTTAATACAGTATTTTTCGAAAATTATGGTAATGTTTTACTGTTTTTTAAACATACACACATACAGACTTTATGTTGAGTCAACATTGTTGACCAGTGTAATTCGATTAATACACAATGGCGTCAATAATTTTTTCTTTGGGGGGGGGGGGTAACATAGAAGGAAAATAATTTTGCCAAACTCTTTATTGTTTATTTGCTTTTGTATATTGGAGAAAAGGATTATAAGGTACCAAAACTAAATATCTCATAAACATAAACATATATATGTTTATTATTAATCTTTTTTAAGTACCTAGGTCATCTTTTTAAATATAAAATACAAATTATAAAATTATATGTCTTTTTTTCATTTTTGCAAAACGATCCAAAACCTTATCAATTTTTATATCCCTATGTACAGGGTGGTCCACGTAAGGTGACCCATATACTTATCTCAGAAACTACTGGAGTCACAAAAAATTTGTAAGGAATTAATATTCACGAAGTAAAAAATATTTTTAAAATATTATATTTTCATTTATACAGGGTGTTCGGTTTTCCTTGGGACGATACCAACTTTCTTATTTTCAATGGAACACCCTGTATTTTTTTGCATTTTTGGATTCTTCCCACTCTTTTAGGTATACTTTGTAAATACATTAAATAAGAATATGTTAATACTTTTTGAGTAAAATTAAGATTTATTAAAATTTCTCTAAATGTAGACACTCGCTAAAAGTTAAAAATAACCAACTAAAAGTTATTATTTTTTATATTATGTAGTATCCATCTCTTTATTAATAAGTAAGCTATAAGTTAATTATTATATTTTTTGGAAAATATCATACAGGGTGTTTTCTATGTCCCGTTGAAAATAGCGATTTTAAAAGTTTAAAATCTTGTTTTTATTCAATGGAACACCCTATAGATTTTTGCATAATTGGATAGAATAAGTAATTACCTTTCATTTTATATATATATGTCCTATACCTAAACCTAACAGAAAAAAAAATATGCGCATTTTTCACAATTACTAGCTTTTTTCCATTTACCTTAGTTAAATTTTCATTATTCAAAGAAAACACCCTGTATAATATTTTCCAAAAAATAAATTAATTAACTTATAGCTTACTTATTATTAAAGAGATGAATGCTACATAATATAAAAAATAATAACTTTTAGTTGGTTATTTTTAACTTTTAGCGAATGTCTACATTTAGAGAAATTTTAATAAATCCTCATTTTACTCAAAAAGTATTAACATTTTATTAATTAATATATTTACAAAGTATACCTAAAAGAGTGTGTAGAATCCAAAAATGCAAAAAAATATAGGGTGTTCCATTGAAAATAAGAAAGTTGGTATCGTCCCAAGGAAAACCGAACACCCTGTATAAATGAAAATATAATATTTTAAAAATATTTTTTACTTCGTGAATATTTGTTTCTTACAAATTTTTTGTGACTCCAGTAGTTTCTGAGATAAGTATATGGGTCACCTTACGTGGATCACCTAAAAAAAATATTCGCATTTTACAAAATTAGTAGCTTTGCGCGTATGGTAATTATTATAGTAATATATATTTATATATAAAAGCATTTTTATTTGTTGTTATTGAAATTTATTTATTTGAATAATGAAAATTTAACTAAGGTAATTGGAAAAAAGCTACTAATTGTGAAAAATGCGAATATTTTTTTTTTGTTAGGTTTAGGTATAGGACATATATATATAAAATGAAAGGTAATTACTTATTCTATCCAATTATGCAAAAATATATAGGGTGTTCCATTGAAGAAAAACAAGATTTTAAACTTTTAAAATCGCTATTTTCAACGGGACATAGAAAACACCCTGTATGATATTTTCCAAAAAATATAATAATTAACTTATAGCTTACTTATTATTAAAGAGATGGATACTACATAATATAAAAAATAATAACTTTTAGTTGATTATTTTTAACTTTTAGCGAGTGTCTACATTTAGAGAAATTTTAATAAATCTTAATTTTACTCAAAAAGTATTAACATTTTCTTAATTAATATATTTACAAAGTATATCTAAAAGAGTGGGTAGAATCCAAAAATGCAAAAAAATACAGGGTGTTCCATTGAAAATAAGGAAGTTGGTATCGTCCCAAGGAAAACCGAACACCCTGTATAAATGAAAATATAATATTTTAAAAATATTTTTTACTTCGTGAATATTTGTTTCTTACAAATTTTTTGTGACTCCAGTAGTTTCTGAGATAAGTATATGGGTCACCTTACGTGGACCACCCTGTACATGAAACAATGCTAATCCTACTAGAAGCCAGAAACCAAATCACGGTGCTGTTCTGAGAGGTGATTTTTGGACTTTTGTGAAACCAAATTTTTTTTTATATTCTTGTTAATTAGGTCATAACTAAAATTTTAAGAGCAAAATAAAAAAAATTTGACGGTTTAAATTGTTTTAATTGGCTGTTTATTAAAAATATTATGCACTCTTTCAATTATCCAATTAAAACTAGCGATTTAATTTAAATATTTGATATTTGCTTAACTAAAAAAAGGTTTTTACAATTTTTTTTATATATTTTACTGTTTTGTTGCAATAAACGTTCAAACTTTTAATCTAACCTTTGACGTATACATTTATGTTCCCTTTAATTTATTTGATGTTTGAATTGTCATTTTCAGTATACGTATTCTATAATTTTTGTTTAATTTTTTAAAGTGTTTTTTATAAACAAAAATGAAAAATTGTAGTAAAAGTTACGAACAAATTCATGAAATTTAACTAAGGACCGGTTTAAAGTTTATCGGGCCGATAACTTTCATGTCTTGGCAATATCTAGTATCCAAAGAAATTATTCGTCAAATAAATCAAAAATGGATAAATCGGCCCTAAATAAAATGTGGCACCCTTAGAATTATTGTTTAATAAATTATACTATACATTTAACCTTAAATTAAAACTTTAAACGTGTATTACAACAAAACAGTAAAAGATATAAAAAATGTATAGACCTTTTTTAGGAAATTAACTAATCTTTAATCTGATTTAAAAAGTTATGATAATATTTAAATAAAATCGCAAGTTTTAATTGGAGAATTGAAAGTGTGCATACATATTTTTAATAAACATCCAATTAAAACAATTCAAACCGTCAAATTTTTTTTATTTTGCTCTTAAAATTTTAGTTATGACCTAATTAACAAGAATATAATTAGGTTTCACAGAAAGTCCAAAAATCACCTCTCAGAACAGCACCGTGAAATCTTTATTTTTCTTTTATTATGCCACACTTTAAAAACTATTCATAAATTATATTTGTAGTAATTTTTTTTTCTTAGGACTCCTATCTTTGGGGGGGGGGTAATTACCCCCATTACCTCCCCTTATCGACGCCCTTGTTAATACATAATCCTTTTATACAATAATTACTGTTTAGTAATTTGCAAAGGCTTTCAGCATATTATAAATCAATGAGTAGTTACCGGGTATTTTATGCCCTAAAATTGATACACGTTTGTGGTTCATTTTTTATAATGTCAAATATAAATTGTTTAACTGCATGCGATATTTTCAAATAATATAATATTAGTTAGTTTTTAAACTTTGCACAACATTTATAATTTATATCATAACATTAATAATATATTTAATTTTTTTACTTTGGGGTTTTAAAAGTGCTTGTAGGAAGAGTACTTCTCAATCAACGATATAACTGTCTTTAGAATGTCATCTTAAGTAAGAGTACACTTAAGTAAATTAAAAATCCAAACTTTAAATATCTCGACATTAAATAAGTAAAAACTTAAGAAAATTTAAGTAAACTTAAATGTAAAGTTAGAATTAATTAATAAGGCTATGCAAGAGTGACGATGGACATTATAATAATACAATTAAAACTAAAGGCTTTTAAGCCCATATAAGGGGTCCGGGAGTAAACTGCTGTGCTAAGCACAAAGGCGATAAATAAGTAATAAAGGACAAAAGTAATTTTATATTGTTTTCAACAATACAAATAATCATTTGTCCTTCATTACTTATTATTACTTTGAGACTTTTTACGTGTTTCTGGAATAGTAACTTAATTCAAAAAATGTAAATAAACTTTTCGGGAATTTTCATAAAAAATAATCAAACATTTAGAGATTATATTGACAGTTGCGTTCTTTTTGACTAAGATCTCAACTCACTTCAGTTAAAGTGAGCTGAGATGTAGTGATGTGCAGGGTGGTTTTTTATGTGGCAATACAGAACATAAGTGTGGCAACGTGAATTAAAGGTTTTTTTTCCTGCAAAAGCAACATGACCTAAACTTATAAATTAAACAAAATATTGTGTATTTCAATTCATTCATATTGAACTTGCATTAAATTAGGAATAATCCATTCATAAACGTTTTATTTGATTGAAGAAATGATATTTTAAAGACCTTAAAAAAATTATTTCCGACTAAATTTAAACTGATATTCCCGAACACTGTGCGGCGCACAGCATATACAGTATTGAAGGGGGGGAGTAAAATCGTTTTTAAACTAACTCCCAGTCATTAAAAGTATCAAAACATCGAATAACCATCAAAGTTTAAAATATTTCCTTTAAATTTAGCGCGCACTCATTCCAACTTTAATTCTAAACGCTTAAATCATTGCCCGACCACATAAAAGGTAAATAGTAATCCCAGAAATTTGCGCTTCCTATACGTCACACATTGCCGATACAACACCATGCTCACCACCGCGGCACGGTGCCGCCGGCACCCCCGCAAGACGGTGATAATAAGCGACTTTTTGTAGACATTTAGGCCCACAAAGTTGCGGATGGGCGATGAAAACAAATAAAGATTACTATACTAAAATTATTGTAGTAAAGTAATCTTTATTTATTGTTAATTCTTTAATTATATGTCATGGAACAATGGATTATTATAATCCCTTATCAGATTTCAAGGGTGCCTATCTGAAACTTGACAACGTTT